ACCAAACCACCCCCAGACCATCCCCACGTCCTCTCTGAACAGGAGAGGATGAGAGGAGGATACTGCACCCAGACCACTCCCACACCCAAAACCACCCCAAAACTGCACCCAAACCACCATAAACACACCCAAAATCACCCCCACACCCATAACCAGCCCCCAAACCACCATAACCATCACCAGACCAACCCCAAGCCATCCCCATGTCCTCTCTGAGCAGGAGAGGGTGAGGTGAGGACGCCGCCCCCAGATCCCAATCACTGATCCCATCCCCCAATCCCTGTCCCCGATCCCATTCCCGTTCCTGTTCCCATTCCCTCTCCCTGAGCGTGCTGTGTCCCTCAGGAGCCGGGAGGAGGAGGAGGCCCTGATCCCATTCCCTGATCCCATTCCCTGATCCTATTCCCAATCCCTGATCCCATTCCCAATTCCTGATCCCATTCCCTGATCCCATACCCAATCCCTGATCCCATTCCCTGATCCCATTCCCAATCCCTGATCCCATCCCCATTCCCTGATCCCATTCCCAATCCCTGATCCCATCCCCATTCCCTGATCCCATTCCCAATCCCTGATCCCATTCCCAATCCCTGATCCCATTCCCAATCCCTGATCCCATTCCCTGTTCCCCTCAGGAGCCGGGAGGAGGAGGAGGCGCTGGAGCAGGCCCGGCGGGTGCCCCAATCAATCCCTGTTCCCATCCCCAATCCCTGATCCCAATCCCATTCCCTCATTCCCACAGGAGCCGGGAGGAGGAGGAGGCCCTGATCCCCTTCCCTGTTCCCTGATCCCATTCCCTGTTCCCCTCAGGAGCCGGGAGGAGGAGGAGGTGCTGGAGCAGGCCCGGCGGGTGCCCCAATCCATCCCTGATCCCATTCCCTGATCCCTGATCCCATTCCCTGTTTGTTCCCCTCAGGAGCTGGGAGGAGAAGGAGGTGCTGGAGCAGGCCCGGCGGGTGTCCCAGTCAATCCCTGATCCCAATCCCTGTTCCCATTCCCTGATCCCAATCCCTGTTTGTTTCCCTCAGGAGCCGGGAGGAGGAGGAGGCGCTGGAGCAGGCCCGGCGGGTGCACGAGGAGGTTCGGCGGCGCCAGGAGACGCCGGTGCCGGTGCCGGTGGCCGTGGCGGTGTCGGCGGCGGGCGCGGCCCCGCAGGGCTCCCAGAGCTCCCAACCCCCCTCCAGCCAGGCCATGCTGGACCAGCAGCGGGAAATGGCCCGGAAGAGGGAGCAGGAGAGGAGGCGCCGGGAAGCCGTGAGTGCCCCACGGACCCCCCGGGAGTGGAACGGGCCCTAAAAATGGGCCCAAACCGGCCAGAAATGGGCCTAAACGGCCCAGAAATGGGCCCAAACGAGCCAGAAATGATCCCAAACCGGCCAAAAATGGGCCCAAAACCAGCCAAAAATAGGCCCAAACGGCCCAGAAATGATCCCAAACTGGCCAAAAATGGGCCCAAACTGGCCAGAAATGGGCCCAAACCGGCCAAAAATGGACCCAAAACAGTCAAAAATGGGCCCAAACTGGCCAAAAATGGGCCCAAACCGGCCAAAAATGGGCCCAAACCGGCCAGAAATGGGCCCAAAACAGTCAAAAATGGGCCCGAACCGGCCAAAAATGGACCCAAACCAGCCAGAAATGGGCCCAAACCGGCCAGAAATGGGCCCAAACGGCCCAAAAATGGGCCCAAATGGGCCAAAAATGGGCCCAAAACAGTCAAAAATGGGCCCAAACCGGCCAGAAATGGACCCAAAACCGGCCAAAAATGATCCCAAACCAGCCAGAAATGGGCCCAAACGGCTCAGAAATGATCCCAAACTGGCCAAAAATGGCCCCAAACGGGCCAAAAATGGGCCCAAACCAGCCAAAATTGGGCCCAAACGGCCCAGAAATGATCCCAAACTGGCCAAAAATGGGCCCAAACCGGCCAAAAATGGCCCCAAAAGGGCCAGAAATTATCCCAAACCGCCCTTGGGGACACTGAAATGGGCCCAAACAGCCCAGAAATGATCCCAAACAGCCTGAGAAATGATCCCAAACATCCCAAAAAATGGTCCCAAACAGCCTGAAAATGATCCCAAAAGGTCCTGAAATGATCCCGAAAAAATCCACAGAAAATGCCCCCAAAATACCCCCAAAAATACCCCCAAAAATCCCAAAAAATGACCCCAAAATACCCCAAAAATCCAAGAAAATGACCCCAAAAATACTCCAAAAAAATCCCCCAAAAAATCTAAAAATCCCCCCCAAATTACCCCAAAAATCCCAAAAAAATGACCCTGAAAATACTCCAATATATCCCCCAAAAAATG